ATCATCATCATCATCATCATCATCATCATCATCATCATCATCATCATCATCATTCTTCTGCTCCTCCTCTTCTCCCTCCTCCTCCTTCTCCTCCTCCTCCTCCTCGTGGTAAACTGACCTCCCCAGTCTTCCTCCAGGCCTTTCTACGGAGACATCAGAAACTACCGTGTCGTCATGGCCGACTATGACCTTGACACAGTTTCCGGGAAGGAGATCTTCCGTGATATAAGTCGTATCATTAGTGTAAGTAGATATTACCTGAGCTGAAAAGTACAATTATGTATAATGTTTATATGTATGATATTGATCGTTTCATTTCTGTTTTCACTTCACTTTTTGTATTTTTACTGGTTTGTAATAAAAATTCTAAACAGAAGGAAAGGCAGAAAGTTTAAGATGTATTCTGCTTTTAAACTGACAACTGATTAAAACCATATCTGGACGGGTATTTTAAAAATACTTTTAGGTTGAAAATGTGTTAAAGATTCAGCGAATAAGAGATACGATGCATTAATCCTTTAGGAGTAGAGATTAAAAAAACAAACAAACAAACTGTGAAACAAACAAACAAAAAATCCACCACCAGTTAGGTATGGTGTCGATACCACAGTGTTCTACCACACATGGATAGAAAAATAGATTTTAATTTATGTGCCAAAACATATTATGTACACGTGTGCACATGCCTTTAAAGGTACTTCTTAAAAAAAATAATCTCGGACATAACGTACTGTCGTTTATTGTTCATGAAAGCAAGTAACCATCATAGTTAACCTTTTTCATGTCTGAATTTAAGCAACACCTCAGACGTATGATCAATATTATCACAGCTCGAGTCAAGCCCCTACCTTGTGGGTAACTGGCTAGAGTCTGTGTAGTTCAGAGATTCTTTGAACAGTGTGTTTACTTAATTTTTATTATTTTTTTTTCCTTTTCTCTATCCCTTCAAAATGACGGCATTTGATAAGTATAACGTTGTGTGTGTGTGTGTGTGTGTGTGTGTGTGTGTGTGTGTGTGTGTGTAATGTGCTAGCTGTAGTGAACACAAGGTTAGGGTGAGATTCGTTTTGTTGATGATAGATTTTGAGCAGTTTGTATTTATCTCGAATAGAACAGGAATTCAAATTCCATAAGTAGTGAAAAACTCTTTTGTGATAAAAGAAATCCAAAATGAAACAAAATATTGAAAGATGGAAGCTAATACAGTGTAGTTACTATACTTTATACATGTGACAAAATTTTTGCTATTTTTATGAGCCTTTTTTTATTCATACTTTGTCTTTGATTAATATATTTACAAACTATGACAAGAGCACTATTTTTGTTTAGAAGTTACTCCTGAAGAATTTACGTGTTTCAAAACATTAGTAACACATTTACTGTCGTGATCAGAAGTTAAACTGAATCAAATGTTTCAGCTTGTTTTATTAGACACTATTATACTTAATTTAA